TCTCGATGACATAAATAAAACATTTCGAACAAAAATGTCGAACGACTCGACACAAGGCTCTGTATAATTTACGATATACTAAGATAAAAACGAGATGCAATAACGTAGAAGGAAGTCACATAGAAATTAGTAGAAAACATAGAAATTTCGAATTTGAAATATTTGAATATAAAAATTATGGTATCACATTACTAATTAAATATGAACTATAATAAAGTTTTTATTATATATAAAATATAATAATCCCTCTACTCGATTTTTATTAATACCTCCAATTAAATAAACTTTATCTCATTAGGAAATAATTCTTCAATTTTTTCCATTTATCGTGTTTTAAATTCCTCCAAATTTGTCATTTCGCTGTAAAGTAGAACGTAATCTTCATTGGATTAAACAACGGAAATTAAATGACGATCCTATTAGAGTGGAATCTATTCCGGGTTAAGTGAACCGGAACTTGCTAACGAAATAAATACACAATTTAACTCTGACTTTAAATCTACTTGTAAGCTAAATGAAACATTGCTAACAATCGATAATAATAGTCACTCATGATTTTCATATTCCAATACAGACTTCTAAATCTCCACTACGAAACGATTAACGTTTTTTAAGTTGAAATGATTACGATAGATAAGGCCATAAATATGAGTAACAAATATAAATAAAAGTATGAATAAAAAGAATGAATGGATTTCCTTTATTGAGAAGCAATTATATTATAGCGAAAGTAATGTACGACATATACATACTGTCAATAATTGATTATTGACATTTTTCGATATTACCCATATCCCCGAAGATATCCTCTTGTCACGTTTCATATATCTTGTATATTTCAATATTATCTTACCATCAGAAAGTTTTTCAGTAAAAAGGACAAAAAAAAATGTTCGGTGATGAAATCTCGCTAAATCGCTGAGCGGTGGAAAACAAGAAACTCAAGTGGGAACGATTATTTTAACGAGACGAAAAAGAAATTCTCTCGATGCTAATCTGGCGAACTCCGACAAATTTCAAGGGTTCCAACTTCAATTAGGTTTAACAGCGTAAAAATACGCGGGTCGGCGGAGGTTAGGGTCGCCCCCTTCCTCACTGCCGCTTCCACAGGAAGTAATTTCGACTCTTTAATGAAATTTTAAAATTTCCCGCCGACTTCGGGAAATGTGCAAACTGTATATTCGCTTTCATCTACCAACGTTGTTTAATTTTCACAAATTCCAACCGGATAGCGGAAAGAGCATGTTAATATTAACTGCTTACGTTTCCCTCGTAGCAAAATCGAAACTTTCAATTAATGTTAATTTGTTTGATCCAAGTGAAAGAATATACATAATCGCCCCATGAACATCTCTGTTCTCCTCTCTTGGAAAAACTTTATATTCAATTTAAAATATTGAAATGTAACAAAAGACAAGTTTTAGCTTTCAAGTGTCTCATCTATAATTATTTTTGATCAGTTCGAGATTTGATCAATTGAAAATTGTTGAGATTCGATCACTTCGAAAAAGTAAAATAAAACGAGCCGAGTATAACATGCCGTTTTGAGTGCCAGTATGTTCAACAGGTTATCAGATATTCTTTTTAAGACTCTTGAATGAAAAGACTCTCTTGTATTGTAGACACTTTACTTACATACTTCGTAAAATGTAGTTTAAACTACATTAGACATTAAATGAGTCAAATAGAAATAGAGTTTCATCAATATAGCTCATCTTCATTTATACTCGTTGATCATACACAGTCCAAATGGATACTTGCTATAAATTGTTCCAAAGTTAATAAACTAATTGACCTTTAAGAACGCTTCATCGCTAACAAGCATTATAACCAGAAAAGAAAAAGGTTGAATGGAAGAAAGAATGAGGAAAAATAGAAACGAATGCCGCTTGATCAGTAAAAAGGGGCGCGCTTTCAATAATCGACTCCATGCTTCCGGCAATATTAACCTGTTATACACCTGTATATACCTAGGATATATGTATACACGTATTCTAGAGCGTATTCAATGTTCCCTTGTACCTTGCTTTCCTTTGAAATTTAACAATACAATTGTATATTTGTGGTATGTCGATACGGTTCAATTAGCTGGCTGATGAAGTAATTAGCAAAGTTTAAAATCGTCGCGAAAGGAACTCTTAATGCGAGTGTATTTACTCGCTGGTAACGAATCGCACGGAACTAACGCGTTCGACGGGCGAATTTACATCGTTACCCAGCTGCGCCACCGGTGCAAGTTAATCTTCCGCTTTTAGATGATAATTGGCGTACTCGCGAGCGAGAAGCCAAGTTTACGATTACTTTATCGGCTGTTCGACGCGCTCGTGTCATCGGTATTTCCTCTGGATGCGACGAATTTATGTCATCGCCTCGTCTACGGCAATTTCTAAAGTAATCAAAAGCCGATGTACCAAACCTAATATATTATTTGCAGTAGACTTGTAAGCGTCTTATCTCGAATGCATCGAAAATATAACTTTCTCAATCAGCGGTTCATTTTCATGGTAAAATTCCGTTTTAGTTAAGTAGATATCTGTGTAATGCACTTACGTTAGCTTAGTAGGGAAAAAAAGTGAAATATGTTTCTGATCGGGAGATTCTTTCCATAAATCTTCGGTGAATTGTTCATTAATTAACAAATTTTTGGAAACTTCGTTTATTAATACCTACTACTTTTACATAGGATATTTCGTGTTTCGAATTTTATCCAGAAATTGTAGATGTTAATGAATAAGTAATTTCTTTCAAGAATAGCTTCTGTACGTCTGACGTCTTTTATAATTCTTGCTCGTAGTTTATCGGACACTTTTAACACGCTTACAGGATAAACGTTGTAATAAAAAAAGATGAAATTATTATTCCTTTATATTAAAAAAAATCCAAATTATTCTATGATTTAGAAGTTCGTTTACAATCCTGTTGTAGCATACTATATTATATGATGTTTAATATTAGGACCATATACATATGTATGCGTTTTACTTCAATTCAAGCATAATTTCGTGAATAAATATTCTTAAGCGTATGAAATGAATACGTAGAATTCAATATCCATATGTGTATAGATATTATGTTACTATATTCTTCTCTCTAATTCCAAGAACTAATTTATTCACTTTATATCATGAAATAAAAAAATGTCTAACATCGTTAACATGCTTATTAGTTCTTTGTATTTGTGTTACTTCCTTCTTCTTTTTTTATTCCGAACACATCAACGATGTTACCTCGACGTTTCCATTTCCGGCGAGACGTCATTGACCAGCAGCGTAAAGATAATGCATCGATTCCATACCAGCGTGTGTTTGGCCGCACGTGTACGGCCATAAAACAATTCCTACGCATTTTTATTGGCGAAACACAGTCCCGGTCACGAGAATGCCTCTATCGGGAAAACTATAACTCGTATCCTTGCGGTTGGCGCGAGGTACAGTCGGCTAAGAGGGTTAGGCGAATCGAATGGAACGCCTCGCGAAGGGGAAAATGCCTCGGTCGTCCCTCGGAGGAACGAGGCAGAAAGAAAGAGAGAGAGAGAGGGAGAGAAACGAAGGAAGGATAAAAGGAAACAGAGACAGATAAAAGTGTCGGTAGAGAATGGAGAGGAAGAGGAGCAAGAGGGACGAACCACTTAACAAACTGCTGAACTCACACCCCGCGGGATTTTATTTCTACTTAAATGGAGTTGCCGAGATACGCATTGGATACGGATTCTTACCGGATCTCTCTGGCTCCGAATTTATTTGTACCGTTTGTTAAATTCTCTCTACCTCTACGTTTCGATTTTCTCATACCTTCTACGTTCCTTCTTTGCTTTTCCTCCCTTTTCTACAAGTCTTATAAACTTTCTTTCGATCGTTGATGAAACTTACCAGTGGCGTTCAAGGTTACGATGCGCCAGATAAAAGTATTGCACACTCGGTTCTCTTTTTTTCCTCTAGGTATTTGTTTTTAGTCTCTCGTATTTTTTTATAAACGAAATCGAAATCTCAATAAGTCGAGCCTCGTTTAAATTAGTCGAGTGAAACCGAATTCGAGCGATCTGAAACCATTTTATCAATGGCAACTTGTTATTTACTTGACGTGAGACATTCATTCAAGTTCTCACGCACATTCTCGTTAGTCGAGTCACTTAATCTGAACGAGGCTTAGTAGTCATAAAGTTCTATGGGTGTTTATGACAGTTTGATAGCATTCTTATGTCGAATAATTTTTATAAGAAATTAACAGTTAACAACTATTCCAATATAACGGTAAGATATATGTATCCCTATACATGGAAGAAAAGTCTACAAATTAATTTTTATTTTTTCTGATATTAAGGTCTGGTATCTTTACTTATTGAGAAAATTTGATAATCATTATTTAGCCATACTATTTGTTATTGCTACTTTAATAAAGCCAGGGTTCTAACTAGAATCTTAATTAGAAATTTAGACTAATAATTCTAAGAATAATTCTATATTATTCTTCTTTTATATTAGGTTATCTCAAAAATTCCTTTCGTTTTATGAGGAAATAATAGATGCACAACATTTTTTGTTTTATATTATTTTATTGAATTATATATGATCTATCTTGTAATAATAGAACATACGAGAACAACATAATATAAAACAAAAAATGTTGTGCATCTATTATTTCCTTATAAAACGAAAGGAACTTTTGAGACAATCTAATATATTCTAATTCAATATTATAATAATACATAATTCTAGAATGTTAAACTTCTTTAATAACAAGAGATTAGGAAGAAAAACAACGATCAGGAAAGTCCATCTACTTTTCTCTAGCTAATGTACGTGTACATTACACGCTACACGTACCACTGCACCACTCAAAACATCTCACTCAGTGCCCAGGAAATGTTTCGAAAAATATTTGTTCCTTTCAAAAAACACTGCCCAGAGTCGGAGTCGACACGTGTAATACGCGAGATAATTGCAAAACCATTGCAACGGCGCGTAAAAAATAAAAATTCTCGAGAACGTGTGTCGTCTCACCTTGTACGGGCCAAGATTTTCCACAATGCAGGTGAAAACAGCTTCGCGACCCACAGAGACCGTCAGGTTGTTCAACGGTGTGCCGAACCTGGGTAAATCTGCAACACGAAAGGTCCTCGTCTTAAGTATCCCGCCACGGCGAACGCTTTACATAACCGTGGTATACACACTTACTTACTTACTGCTACTTATACTTATAACCCACCTAGGAACGCGCTAAAGTTTGCGAAGTACTCAAGAAACTCGGGCCGGTGAATGGGCCGAGTTAACGTAAGCGGGTCAACTGGGGACTAAGCCAGCCTCTTTATATTTCTCGACAAAATCCTTATTCTCCTGATTTCAGCACAACCTTCGTTCGATCATCATGACTATCTAAGGAGCGGTTATCGTATGTCTCATGAAAATAAAGGGGCAGAAGGAAGAAATCGGGATCGAAGGGATTTATTTTCGTATTTTGATAAAATTCCAGGATAAGATTTTATGAGAAGATGGTCATGTTAATGTGTGATTTTATAGAGAGTTGAGAACCGTGTGGGTTGCTTTGTGTATTGTGTATTGTTGTTTTATTTGTTGTATTATTTTATCGTTCATGTCTTGATGGATAATTAAAGAAACGGAACAAAAGAAGCATGTTTCACTTGATAAATATTGTAAGAAAAATTACGAATTTTATTTGGCATGTTTAATGAAAATTACATTATCTTGAAATGTCAACCTCTTTCGCTAAAATTTTTTGAATTATTAGCTCATCGATATTTTAACATTAAATAAAATAAAATCAAACTGTAAATAGCGGAACAAAAATTGAACTGAAATGTTTCGGAGAGAAGCTTCAGTTTGAAAGCTGCAGTACGAACCGATGAAATTTTAAAAGACAAATTGAATATTCAGGAGCCTATAGCAGTTAAATAACGGGACTGGAATAAATTTTAATACGCCTCAGTCGTACATAAAGTGACGTTGGGCTATAAATATAGAAATAATAAACTAACTTGAACTGATAAAAATCTGTGATGAACTACGGTTAAAAAGCATGAAAACAATGTTTACGCTTTATTACAACTTAAGCTATAATAAAATTCTCTGAATAATAAATATTCGCTTATCACAACACATTTTCAACATACTTTTCGTATATTTCATGTATTCTATACATGGATGTGTATTTTTTCATTTATTATATTTCCGTATTTCACGTATTTTATTTACATATCATAACATATCTTAAATGCATAAGCATTAAAATAGATTTATTACAATTCACACTATGTTAAAACTTATTGTCTTTCCTTATAGAATTATTCCTAATTAGCAATTACATATGTATATGAATTATTTTGAGGTATTCGTTATTATACATTTTTTCTTTTAATATAGATAGGCTTTGAATTAGTTTTCATTATTAATTGATTTTCAGTGAAATGTATCCAACAGTAAAATATTCTTAAAATTGTAGGAAGGTAAATTTGTTACGATTCTTATTTTGAAACAGCAAGTATTAAATGCTAATTTTAAATAAATAAATAATAATAATAATAATAATAATAGATGTTAACTGAATTAAATTGCTAGAGGACATATATAAAGTTATTTGATAGCCTACAAAAAATAAAGAACGAGAGTATATATTTTTTAGGAATATATGCATTAAATATACCGTACAAGCATATACCTAACAGATGTATCAGCCATCGAAATATATTTGATTCATATCGTAAGCGACCCAAGGTTTTATTATGCGGAAGGTTGTTGGAAACTGGACCAAAAATTGCAGTTCTGGCAAGGCCATTGGCTACATTGGCCATATTGTGAATTTATGGCACGTCGATCGTCATCGGTGTTGGGGTGAAAGGTTAAGGTTCTGGAAATGCAAATGTCCAACAAAAATATGAAAATTTTGCGAGGTATAGAAAATCTTCTGTGCCATCGACTTTTTCCCATATCAATACATTTTTTTCGTATAATTCACCAAATCTTTTTTTGAACATTTCCCACACACGATTATATTTTATTTTTTATGACCAATAAATGAAATGAAAAATGTGCAAAGAATCTACTGTGTTCAATAAATATAAGAGACTAAAAAATACGATTAACAAAAAAAAAAGAAATAAAATAGATATAGATAACAGACATTTTTAACGAAAAAGTAATTTTATTTCAATGCTCAAATAAAGCGAGCTTCACTATGGTAAAAATACGATGACGTATGATCATATCGTAAACCTGGGGAAGTTCAAATATATGTGACTAATAGTGCCATATGAAATCCAATATAACGTAACATTTCATATTTTCGTTATCTCATAGTTTTCTAGTGAACTTTATTCGTGCAAATTTTCGCACAGCTATTGCACAGTCTTAATGCATAATTACTATTATATATAACTGTGTATACGTAATCTATTATTTCAATTTAAAGATTATATTAATATTTTTTTAAAAATTCGGTTTACACTAAATTGAATAACTCTTTGAAAAAAGGACTCGTACGACAAAATAGTAAATTGAGTAAATTGCTTTGGGAATTTTAGTTAAACTAGAAAATAACTTCTATTTAAAATATATTTTTTTCAAAAAATTTCACAATTGATCTTTTTGGCATGGGATAAATTAATTTTCCACTAAAATTTGTTGAGACTTTGTTTTACAGACAAAATAGCCTTATTATACACAGATATAATAGGCCCAAATCAATACACAAAGACATTGGCGAATGGCAGTACGATCTCAATAATAGCTTATTAACAAACAGCTATTATTGCGGAGAGATTTTCTCAAAGCACCGCATATATATACACAGCGACATATATAGCGTCTAAATTCGTTCGATATTACTTGCTTGGGCTCTAACAAGCAACGGCATCGCCATTGAACCGATAAACGATAATTAAACGTTAATCATGTTCTAAGGAAGTATTGATCCTCGCAGGAAATAGGTAAGACACGATCTCAGAGAGACGCGAGCCAATACGCATTAATTTCTCGACTTCTCACCAGCTAGTGACGGTTTAATTCGTTTACATCCTCAAAGGTTCTCGAATCGATGTACAATGCTTCAAAGTACAGTCGAGGATCGAAATTCATCATTTCACAGCTAACTGAAATAATTACGGATTGTTGTACTAATAAATTCTGGTATGTTAAAAAGAAAAATTAATTATTTTAGTCTACATTGAACTTAATAAATTTTTTATAATAAATAAAAATTTACTATATATATTTAGGCAAGGATAGGAATATTTATCGGTAATCTTTGAATTTTATATGTTACAATTTTGGTTTTGTCCTTACTGGGTGAGGAAAGAAGTTTTTACATTTTAAGAATATCTTAGCGTACAATTGAAACATGAAATCATGCATATCAATGACGATACTTGCGTATTGTCCTCAAACCTGACAATTTTCCTAACGATAGAAGAATACTATTGGAACGAAAAATGACTGAAAAAAGACAAGAGGATTAATTTAGGAGATATTGCAAAAATGCTGAAATTTTGAAGCGTCTACCGATTTTAAAGCTATATTGCCATTTGAATTTCTTGAAATCATTGGAATATGGTCCCAAAGGAGTCTAGGAATTAACTAAAAAGTTTATAAACTAATATAATAAATTATTCTATATAATAAATAGTTTTAGTTTGTGGATCACTGTGCTACGTCTTCGAATTTAATGAAACATTATAAACTTCTGATGCTTAAGAGGGACTGCGGAAAGTTAAGTTCATTATTGAGTGCAAAACTCTCGCAGTCTAATTAAATCACCGGTAAATACAACACCTTGAGCTTTGTTCGCACCACTATGCTCATTACTGAAGCATGTCAGAAAATTACAGTAACAAGTGTGAAAGTTGAATAAGAATGTTCTTTATTTATCGAGTTAGAATTCGAATTAAAAGACAAAGACGTCGTAAACACGAGAATACCGCTTCACTTCTTTTCTTGTATTTTGTATAATAGATTTGACAAATTAAAGTTGGAACATCCGTCTAATAAGATATTAAGAAGTCAAAGTCCATTTATCTGACTAGGCTCCTTAAATACAATAAATTTCACTTGAAAAACATTTCATTAAAATATTTTTAGAATAAATAACGAGTTATTTCAGGTGGTAGTTTTTACTGACTCGCCCTCTATATAATTATAAATAATATGCCAAATTGCAACATGTTTTAATATAACATAACATGTGTTTAAACAAAGTTAAAATATCTGAGCGTCTAGATATTGTTGAAAGTAATTTTGGTCAGTTCGCTATCTAATTGAATCACAATGTGTATATAAATTTCATTTCTTTAATATGAAACTTTCGATTAAATTGCTTTCATTTGACTCTCGATTAAGCGTGGGAAAAAGGAAATGTAAATAGTCCAATTTTCAAGCGCAATAATAAATTCAATTAATGAAGTATTGATAAAATACAAAAATATTTGACATATCATTTTTTATTTAATCAATTTGGTTATCTATCTCTTATTAACGTATACGAATAACCTCACCGCAATTACGATTTTATCGTTGCAAATTGATATTTTGCTTATTTCAATGACCTTCTAATTTTCCGCAATTAAAACTATGTCTCAGCGATAGTTGAATTGTTCTGAAGTTTAGTAGAAATCTTTAATCAATGACCGTATCTTTTATTTTCTGTTGTTCAGTAATAGGTACATTTATGCGCTCGTTAGAATATGTGCTCCTTTAAGAGACAACGTATCACATGCATAATAGTTACGCAATAAGTGCAGTCTCATGTCGTCATTTAGGCTTGTACAGTACAGTCAAATGTTTCCACTTGAACTACTTATGTGTAGGTAATTAAATCAATTGACATGCAAGCGTGTAATATCTTACTCCTGTTTAATGTACAGCTTTGAAAACTAACTTCTGTTAGTAAGTAAACACAGCAGAGACAAAAACAAAAGCGGGGAACATGCGAAAACAACATGGCAGTTTAGGTTTTAACATAAAGCTCAAATTCAAGAATGGGAGTGGTCGCATTAAATTCATGCAAGCTTGATGACATATCCGACGAAAAAGGAACTATGATTTACCGGATTCGAATCTGCCGCAGCCCATTGGTATTATATTGAGAAAAATT